TGTGACTGAAGGCTAACAAACTACCGACAGTGACTTAATTATTATCGCCCACTTAATTATTATTATCTGGATCCTCTGTTGATCAGCTGGGTGAGTGAAAACACACACACACACATGAGATACATAACTTGTGTATTTAGTCCACAAAATTAACTTTCCTTGCCTCATACTGAGTATGTTCTCACAATCCACATTTCTGTACATAAACACTCTATACAGAAAGTACCAAATAAGACAACTTTTCTTGAGTCAATGTCATTCTTAGCAAGTTTTTAATTAATTTTAGCTTGGAGCAGCATCATTCTGCGAAGGCAGCAGCAGCTGGAATTTTCAACAGAATTCTTAAAGCAACACTTGGACTTGGGCATGGGTCCTGGCTCTGACATTACTCACTCACATGCCGTCTGGGGTTACATGTGGTACGTTGTCACAGAAGAGGTCACTGTTTTGATTTGACGTTGTGTTTCACAATCACTTATGGTTGCCCTTTTCATCGTCTCAAGATTTAGATCCACGGAGATCTTACGTTCTTTCACATTTCCGTGTTGGTATTCTATAAAGGAAACTGAAAGCACCTTGTTCGATTTCCTTCAAAACTCTCTTCAAATGATGCTACGCTCTGATACACAACAAAGAGAAACTGGTTTCAGGATTATTGGCGCAGGAATCTTCTCCAAGTCAGGCCCATGTTTTTGTTTCCTTGTATTTTTATTGGAATGTTGTTTTTCTTGCATATTTCACAGGCAGTTTTGGTTTGGTTTCTTTAAACTTAAAAAAATATTTTTAATCCTTTTGAAAATGAAGTAGCCAACAGATGTTTTTCAAAGCTTTTGTTAAGCTTATCAGTAGAAACAAACAGTTTGAATTAAGTAACTGTAGAGAGCATAGATTCAAAACCTCACTTTCTGTTAGAGTCAATGATTTGTTCTTTGAGAATCTCCTGTGGTTTTGATCAAAACTTTTTCAACTTTGATCAAAATTAAATTTTTTTACTTCAGCAGCATTTAGTTGGTACCCCCACCACGTGCCTGAGATTTGTCATAAAGCTGGACGTTGGTCTGACCAAGCTGTTTTGTCTTTGGGCAGATCTGGAAGACCTTGAACCAGGCCCTTCGTGGTCCCGCATGTCTCCGCTGCTAGGGTCGCCGAGGGTATGTCTCCTAGAAGGACTCAAACCATGAGCCATCTGTGTCATGTAGATACTTCTGGGTTCTGGGACGAACTTCATGCTTACGGACCTTTTAGTTACCAACCACATTAGCTCCATTGTCATAGGCTTGCCTTCGACAGTTTATCTTAGACTAAAGTCTAATATAAAAAAATTCTTCCCAATTGTTCTCTTCATTCAAAACATTGATTTAGACTTGTTTTTCTTCTCTGGGCAGTGGAATGATGCGTATGTTAGTTGTTCAACATGTCTTCACGCCATGGAACATTCTAGGTGAACTGAGTATTGAAAAAATTTTGCGTGTGTCCTGGCTGGACTGACTCAGTGGATTGAGCACCGGCCTGTGAAGCAGAGTTGCCAGTTGGATTCCCAGCCAGGGCACATGCCCAGTAGGGGGCGCACCAGAGGCAACCACACATGGATGTTTCTCTCCTTTTTCCTCCCTTCTCCTCTCTTTAAAAATAAATAAATAAGAATCTTAAAAAATTTTTTTACATGTGATTTCATTTTTCACTTATTACCCATTAAAATTAATCCGTATTTTCTAGTCTAGATAGTAATCATTAGATTCATTATTATTTGTCCTAATTACATGTTTGGCATTTTATCAAATTTTGAAATAATTGTTAATAAACCTAGAAAATTTCCACTGTTTTTTGTAAACATTGTGTTGATGGTTCCATGAAAAGCATCATGAGGCGTGGCTAAACAATGGACGCATGGTATTGTTCTACCAAGGCCATTACACTGATGTTTTGTATCATTTGCCCAGTACCATCAGTGGTCCATGACTTACTCAGCTCCCCCAGTGCTGGTACCTCCCCGTGTCCTTTCCTGTGCACGAGTCTTTGCGACTAGCAACTAGACCCTCCTCTAGTAATGAACATGATGTTTCAGGGATTTCAGCTGAACTGTTCAAGCTGTGGATTTGGAAAGAATAATATCATTACTAATTTTCATTGTTTTGATAAATAATTAAATCTCCACTGAATAAAGAATTCGTAGTGTCCTGTCTGCAAATTTTATGTGGGTCGTCCTCGAAGAAGAGTGCTTACTTTTACTGTTTTGCTTCTAAAAATGCAAGCAGACTGCTTCTGGAAGATTTTTTACTTCTTTTTTTTTTGTTTTTCTTTTGTGAGGTCCACTTTGGTATTCTTTTTCTATCAAGTTTTTGAGACTCATACTCATTTTTAATCATCTAGAGATTAAAAAGTGAGTTGTAATTATACTGAATGGGTAAAGTTAGAATGTATTTTCATAAAAAATAAAGAGGAAGCCCTGTCTGGCGCGTAGCTCAGTGAATTGAGTGTGGGCTGTGAACCAAAGGGTCGCCGATTGGATTCCCAGTCAGGGCACATGCCTGGGTTGCAGGCCAGGTCCCCAGTGGGGGACACAAAGAGGCAACCACACACTGATGTCTCTCTCTCTCTCTCTCTCCCTCCCTTCCCCTCTCTAAAAATAAATAAATAAACTCTTTTAATAAAAGCAAAAAAAATGGGAAAAATTTGCAGATATAATTTCAGAAAGTTAGCTTTCCCCTAAAATATACATGAATTAAACCACGAATTACGATAATATTTAACATCAAAATTATTTGAGAGCTGAAAATGTTAACATTGTCTTTTCAATGTTTTTATAAGAATGGAGCCATTCCTGACTCTCATATTCAGTGTCCATCTCACTGCCGACCGGAAGCCCCGGCTGTCCCCGCGGCGGTCCCCACCGGCGCTGTGCGTGCAGCCCAGCAGGCACTCGCTGCTGTGGTGCTGAGCCCTGGACACCAGCTGCGACCGGGGGAGGCCCGCTGTAAGTGTGCAGTACACACCAGGGTTTGAAGATTTAGTATGAAACAAGAAGATAAACTATCCCAAGTAATTTCTTATATTGATTCCATATTGAGATAGTATTTTGGACATAATGGGTCAAATATAGTTAATTTCACCTCTTCTTACTTTTTTTAAAAAAAGATTTAATTTATTCATCTTTAGAGAGAGGGGAAAGGAGGGAGAAAGAGAGGGAGAGAAACATTAATGTGTGGTTGCCTCTCACATGCTCCCTACTGGGGACGTGGCCTGCAACCCAGGCACATGCCCTGACTGGGAATCGAACCAGTGACCCTTTGGTTCATAGGCTGGTGCTCAACCCACTGAGCTACACCAGCCAGGGTTCTTTTTACCTTTTAAAAACATGGCACTCATATTTGTAGTGGACAATGCTGGTGTACACATGTACAAATGTAAGAGTGATAGGAATCAGCCCTCACAAGCAAGGCTCACAGGTACTGACCTAACCCATGAACACCCCAGGACCACAGTCTAAACACGGAGAAAGGAAAGACAATGGACATTTGGCGCTATGGAGGAATGATCCTTAGTCATGCACGAATTTATCTGACAAGTTATGAACTTGCCTTTTCTCCTGCTATTTGACTCTTCCCCACACTCCGCAGCTGTGCCCATCCCTGGTATCTGCCGTGGCACAGTCTACAAACCATGAGACTCAGAGGTCCTTTGCTTCGGGGACATAGAGCAGTAGACGTAGAGAAGCATTTCCCTGGGGGTTGAATGGTGTCAGTTACAAGAGCGGATATGGGGAGGATGATGCTGTGCCAGCACTGAGTGGCAGAGGTGCCCAGCACCTGGAATGAGCCAGCTGTTTTGCGTAGCTGTGACGTGAGGGTGTGCCAGGGTGCAGGGCAGAAGCCCTTCTTACTGTTCTCTAAGGGCAATACAGGCTGGTGGAGATGTGTGTTGTTCTACAAGGTTTGGAAGACGCTGCGGCAACATATGTGGAAATGTCCGTGCACCACTGAGTAAGTAAGCCCATTCCTGCCCCTCCAGCCTGCAGACACAACGGCTACCAGCAGATGGCAGTCTCGGAAAGCACCTTCTCAACCTGGGGAACTTCTAATACACCTGCCTGGCCTCTCAGCCTCCCATCTATTAAATTAGATTTTTCAGGGAAAGAGCCCAGATATGTTTATTTTGAAAAAGCTCCCTAGGCAATACTGAAGGATATGTCTGGTTAAATAGTACAACTCTAAAAAAATATGCAAAGTTAATAGATTATATTTCACTATAAACTCCCAGGCCATATTCAAATTATATTTTTCAGATTTTGTTTTATTATTTATTTATTTATTTTTAAAGATTTTATTTATTTATCTTTAGAGGAAAAGGGAAGGAGAGGGAGAGAAATATCAATGTATGGTTGCTTCTCATGTGTTCCCCCGCTGGGAACTGGCCAGCAACCCAGGCATTGCCCTGACTGGGAATTGAATCGCGATCTTTTGGTTTGCAGGCCTGCACTCAATACACTGAGCTATACCAGCCAGGGCATATTTTTCAGATTTTGTTTTAAATAAGAGGAGTTTTATTTGGGATTCTGAACTCTGCACCACAGAAAACCGCAGTTCAGAACGCATGATTAACCCGAGCCCCCAAGAGTGGCACTGGTTTCTTCTCACTGTGAAAGGGCTCCCGGGGTGCACTACAGGCCAGGGGGCCTGCTTTGTCTACTCAAGGTGCCAGACCCGGCAGGAAGCACTCAGAGGGTTCACACCTCGACACCGGGCATTCTTCTGTTGAGTCACGTTGTTGAAGGAACTCTGTCAGCTCCGTGTGAGTTACTATTCGTAGGAGCAATAAATGGGGTTAAATTTAAGAATCAAAAGAGCAGTTTCCCCATTACTTAGAGTGCATTATTTTGTTCAAAACAAACTACCATGTGATATTTGAGCTACTTCAGAAATGCAAATAATCACCTGTTTGTCAAACCTTCACACTCGAATGACGCCCCCGCTGTGAGCCTGTGAGCGGCAGAGGGTACTTACATTTGCTGGCATGGTTTCTGAGCAGCTTTCTCTTGCTTCTCTTTCTGTAGGTGCCTGACGTTTCTCTCTGTTACCAGCTGCTCCCCAGGAACTGCTGGGATCCCCATGGTGGCTGCGAATTCTGCGGCACCCTGGCCAGTCAGGAAGCAGTGAGGTGTCTTGAACCAGAAAGAAATGGAAAAAAATGGTTAGTTTTTGAAAAAGTTTAAATCTTTAAAAAAAAAAATTATTTATTCTTAGAGAGAGGGGAAGGGAGGGAGAAAGAGAGGGAGAGAAGCATTGATGTGAGAGGGAAACACTGATTGTTTGCCTCTTGCACACCCGCAACTGGGTACCTGGCCCACAACCCAGGCATGTGCCCTGGGCGGGAATCAAACCGGCAATTGGTCTGTGGAACAACGTCCAACCCACTGAGCCACACAAGTGGGGGCAAGTGAAAACCTTTTAAACTGTTCCTATTGTGAACCTTAAAAATGCAAATTTCAGTGGCTTACTTTTCTGAATGTTGAAAGGAGCCTGGCTCTGAGTTTTGTATTTTGCCCTGGCTGGTGTGGCTCAGTGGGTTGGTTCAATTCCCAGAAGGGGCACATGCTTGGGTTGTGGGCCAGGTCCCTGGTAGGGAATGTACAAGACGCAACCATAGATGTTTCTCTCACACATCGATGTTTTTCTCTTTTTCTCCTTCTCTTCCCCACTCTCTAAAAAAAGGAAGGAAGGAAGGAAGGAAGGAAGGAAGGAAGGAAGGAGGGAGGGAGGGAGGGAGGGAGGGAACCTGGCTCTGAGTTTTGTATTTAAAGAAAACCCCCCAATGGTATAATGCTAGGAATGTGACATATATGACCTTAAATTTGGAGAACTTATCTATTTGTGTTTAATATATGCTATTAAACAGTTGGTTTGTTCAGTGTGTATGTGTTTTATATGTGTTGAGAGAAGGCTGAATGCGGGAAGATAACATGAAAACAAAGGAATCACTGGGCCAGTGACTACCAGTCAAATTACATTGTCCGCAGAGCCAGAATCCTGGCTTATTTGAGAAAGTCAACATTACTTCTGTTCTTTCATATAGTTTTAGGAGAATGACCTCAGGCATTTCCATATGGTCTGACCCCTGTAGTCACTGAAGTACAGCGGTGACGATGCTGTAGGAAAAGGGTGCAATGGTCACACGTACCTTTTCCATGACAAGCCTCGCGAGTTTGATGGGATTTGCGATGCACCGGATGGCGGACACGGCTCCTGAAGACAGGTCTTTGCCGCTCATGATGCTGGCATCCATTTCAACCTCACCATTGACGTTCAGGACGGAGCCACAACCTAGACCCAAAGAGAAGTTGAAAGCGAGAATTTACAAGTGGCTTCCGAGTTTCCTCTAAGCCGCCTCCTTTGATTCACCCTTCACTCCATCGCCAGAGGGAACGAAAACCTGACTTGGTGCCCCATGACCTGCAAAATCGATAGTACGAAGCCTTTCTGACCTGGCTTCTGACTTACTTTTCCAGCTTCATCTCCTCTCCTTGGCCACATGTTACTGAAATACCAGCTTTCCCCGAATGTATTGTAAGCTCACTTTGCTCTGTGCCCTTGGCAGTGCTGTGCCCTTGGCAGTGCTGCCCCCTTGGCAGTGCTGCCCTCTTCACCACTAGTATCCTTCCTCCCGGGTTCTCTGCCCAGGGTAACGCCTACACGTCTGGCTACGCTGAACCTCTTTGTGACTGTTTCCTCATCTGTAAAAAGGGAATAAGAATAAAGCTCAAGAATATTTATTTATTTATATATTATTATTTTTAATCCTCACCAGAGGATATGCTCATTGATTTCATTTTTAAAATTTTTATTATATTTTTAATTCTTACCCAAAGAGATGTTTTTACTGATTTTAGAGAGAAAGGAAGGGAGGTAGAAACACAGATGTGAGATAGGATCATTGATTGGTTGCCTCTCGCAGGTGCCCCAACTGGGGACCAAACACACAGAACTAAACACACAAAATTCTAGGTCAGGTGCCCTGACCTAGAACTAAACCTGCAACCTTTTGGTTCATGGCAGGGGTGCTCCAACCAACCGAGCCCCCTGGCCAGGGCTGTTCATTAATTTGAGAGAGAGACAGAGAGAGACAGAGAGAGATCTGTACGAGAGAGAAACATTGATTGGGTGCCTCCTGTGTGCACCCTGATCAGGGATGGAACCCACAACCTTTTGGTTGTACAGGATGACACCCCAACCAACTGAGCCACCTGGCCAGGGAAAGCATATTTAAAGGATTATAAAAGTACCCAGTTCCTAACAAGGTAAGATTCAGTGTTTGGTATCCAGTAAGAAATTATCAGGCATGCAAAGAAACTGGAAAATCTGACCCGTAATAAGAAGGGAAAAAAATCCATCAGTGGTTAGCAGATCCAGAAATAATAAGAATTAGTAAAGCATCATGTTAAAATAGCTGTTATAACTGTTGTTCCATAGGTACCAGAACCTGGAGAAAAATGTGGAAAGGGTTCAAATAGAACTTTTAAAAAAATTTTTTTTATTGATTATGCTGTTACAGTTGTTCTATTCCCCTTTTCATTCCCCTCCACCCTACCCCCCCATCCCCACCATTACCCCCCCCTTTAGTTTATGACCATGTGTCTCAAGTCCTTTAGATTCTATATTTCCCATGCTATTCTTGCCCCCCCATCTATTTTCTATCTACTGTCTATGCTACTTATTTTCTGTACCTTCTCCCCCCCTTCTCCTCCTCCCACTCCCCTGTTGCTAACCCTCCTTGAGATCTTCATTTCTATGTTTCCACTCCTGATCTAGCTGTCCTCTTAGTTTGCTTTCGTTTTAGGTGTGGTTGTTAATAACTGTGAGTTTGTTGTCCTTTCACTGTTCATGTTTCTTTAACTTCTTTTTCTTAGATAAGTCCCTTTAACATTTCATATAATAAGGGCTTGGTGATGATGAACTCCTTGAATTTGATCTTATCTGAGAAGCACTGTATCTGTCCTTCCATTCTAAATGAAAGTTTTGCTGGATAGAGCAATCTTGGTTGTAGGTCTTTGGATTTCATGACTTGGAATACCTCTTTCCAGCCCCTTCTTGCCTGTAAGGTCTCTTTTGAGAAATCTGCTGACAGTCTGATGGGGACTCCTTTGTAGGTGACTGTCCCCTTAGCTCTTGCTGCTTCTAGGATTCTCTCCTTCATTTTAATTTTGGCTAATGTAATGATGATGTGCCTTGGTGTGTTCCTTCTTGGGTCCAACTTCTTTGGGACTCTCTGAGCTTCCTGGATTTCCTGGAAGTCTATTTCCTTTGCCAGATTGGGGAAATTCTCCTTTATTATTTGTTCAAATAAGTTTTCCACTGGTGGCTGTGCCTTTCCCCCTTCTGGTACCCCTATAATTCAGATGTTGGAGCGTTTAAAGATGTCCTGGAGGTTCCTAAGACTCTCCTCATTTCTTTGAATTCTTGCTTCTTGACTCTTTTCTGTTTGGCCATTATTTGCTTTCTTCTGGTCCACTCCATTGATTTGAGTCCCAGTTTCCTTTTCATTGCTATTGGTTTCCAGTGCAATTCCATTCATTTCAATTAGTTTTGCCTTCATATATTTGTCTAATTTGTGGCTATAATCAACCAGTTCTGTGAGGATCCTGATGACCAGTGTTTTAAACTGTGCGTCTGAGAGTTTTGCTATTTCTTCATCACTTAGATCTATAGGCTCTGGGGCTTTGAGATCTTCTTGCACCATTTTTGGTCTGTTCGCACCCTTTAAGTGTGAGGAGGGGCGCCTTGGACTCCCAGGTCTCTGGGTTGTGACACTGTATGTCGGGGCGTGGTCAGAGCAGGGAAATGGCGACCCCCTCTGCTGTTTCTCACAGCTGGGTGAGGAGCAGCACCTTAGTTGGTTCACCTGGGCCAGGCCACTCAGAGTCGCTGGGTTATGACGCTGTATGTGGAGGTGGGGTCAGAGCAGGGAAATGGCAGCGCCCTCCTTGCCGCTTGCCAGGGGACCCGCTGGGTCCCGGTCCAATTGCCCACTCCCTCGCCTGTCCACCCGCACACAAATGCGCGACCACAGTCAACCCGCAGCCCCGGTCCCCCGCTGTCTCCCCCCAAGGTCGCTCGCCTGGTCACTCGCTGGGTAGCTCACTAGGTCCTGCGCCTGGATTCCGGGCGTCTGGATTCCGCGCCTGAGTCCGTCTGACCGAGTCCTCCTGTGCAACCCTGCTCCACCAGCTGCTGGTTTCGCCCCTTACCGGTCAGGCTGAAGAATTTGTTGTTAACGGACTTCCGAAAAGTTCAATTTTCCGTGTTCTGGCTGTGTTTTTTGTTGCCAATATTTAGTTGTCTCTAAACTTGGTTGCGTGAGAAGGCACGGCACATTCACCTATGCCTCCATCTAGGCGGAAGTCCACCAAATAGAACTTCTTGAAATGAAAAAAAAAGTCTGAAGTAAAAAGCACTGCATGGCGTTAATACCAACTTAGGGATGCAGGTGGAGTCGGGATCAAGCTAAGTGGCCGGACACCAAGTGCTCCCTTTGATCACTTCTCTTCTAGGACTCTGCACCTTGCCCCAGCGTGTGTGGGTTTCCCATGGCACCGAGACGTGCCCGGACACCAAGGGAGCAAACACAAGTCTTTTCGACAAAAGCAGCTGGAACAACTGGACACCCACATGTGAAAAAATGATGCCAACTCAAAGTGGACCGCAGATATGAATGTAAAGGGCAAAACTATAAAATGCCTAGAGGATAACATAGGAGAAAATGTAGACCACCCTGGGTCTGGCTTTTTAGGTACACCGCCAAAGGGCTGAACCATTAAAGAAAAAATTAAGATGGATTTCATTAAAATGAAAAGTTTTTGCCCTGTGAGAGACACTGTCAAGAGAATGACGAGACAAGCCACAAACTGGAAGTGTTTGTTAAAAGCCATACCTGACACAGGACTGTTATCCAAATAGGCAGAAAACTCTTAAAATTCAACAATAAGAAATGAACTTAATTAAAAAATGAGTCAAAGACCTTAACAGACACTCTGGCAAAGAAGATATATGCAAATAAGCATATATGACAAATACGCATATAAAAATCAACTAATTTCATATACTACGAATGAACAACTGGCAATCGAAAATTTAAAAAGTAGTATTTACAATACCAACACAATACATGAAGTTATTAGGTATAAATCTAATAAAATATGACATATGAATGCTGAAAACTACAAAACACTGAGCAAAGGAATCAAAGACCTAAGTGCATGGAAGTACATGCTGTGTTTATGAATTAGAAAGATCACTATTAAGATTTTTAATTCTCCCCATACTGATCTATAGATTCAACACACCCCTAATCAGAATGCTAGTAGAATTTTTTTGGGTAGAAATCGACAAGGGGATTCTCGAATTCGTGGGAAAGGCAAAGAGACTAGAACAGCCAAAACAATAATGAGAAAGCAATAGAGTTGGAAGACTTAGTATGGAATTTTAAGACAGCATAAAAGCACAGTAATCAAGATGGGGTGGAGTTGGTGCAAGAATGCAGGTGCGGATTAATGGAACGGAGCAGGGGCCAGAAACAGAGACAAGCACATAAAGCCGACCCATTTTCAACAAGGGTGAATGGATAAGACAATGGGGAAAGAACTGCCTTTTCGACAACGGGTGCTGGGAACAATCAAGCAGAAACTGAACCTTGATATGTACCTTGCACCACATATGAAAATTTATTAAGAATGACTTTATCACATTCGTGGAACTGTACACTGAAACAGGGGGAAATTTTACTATATGTAAAAAAAATGACACTAAAAAAACCCCATTAAAATTATATGGTATTGGTTAGTGAATTCTAGACCTGGTACTTCAGAGAGGGTGGATAAATAAAAATCCTGTTATCTCAAAGACTCTGTGAGCACTAATCAAACTGAATTCTAGGGAGAATAAATTAACTAGCTGAAGTTCCGTGTTGAGTACTGCTCAACTCCAGTGGAAGCAAATGGTCATTATTTGGTTGCCAATCGAAGTCTTTACAGAGTATTTCTATCACTCTGACTAAGGGTTCATTTTTCTCTAGTGTTGGTTTCTAACAAATAAACTAATTTTAATAAACTAGGTATTATGACATAAGCTTTAAACCTAAAGTGAAATCCAATTGAAATGTGGCATTATATTGAAATTATAATTGAAATTATAAGCGTTCCGATAAACTGTGTCACTGTTCAAATTACTGACCCCTAAGGCAGTCGCTACCTAGACTCAGCTTCTGTAGGAAGCTCCTGAATAGTTGTCCCAAAGGATTAGAGCACAGGCTACCAGAAATACTGTTTGTAGTGACCTCAGCTGGGAAAACAGAGCTCGAGGGGGAGCAGACCACTGTTAAAAGTCCCACCTTTCTTCCCTCCATCTCTGATTGCCTTGTCTTCAGCCCTACTCTCTTGGCTCTCCACGGGCTGAACAGCAGGGATCTGGGGAAACCAGAACAGAGACGTTCTGAAGGCAGGCCCTGGCTACAGAGCAAAGAAACAAGGCCTAGCTCCACGAGTTCCCTGATCCACATGTCCTTAAATCACTCAGGAGAAGGATCCTGTTAGAGAAGGTGGGAAACCAGGACCGCGTGCCCCAAATCAAGGGCCTTTGTGAATAACTGGTGTGTGTAAGCAGGAGGGCAGCGACTAACGGCATCTAGTGTAAGGAGGGTCCCACTCCAACAGCAGGCTGCCCCTCCTGCCTGCAAGGGGAGGCATCTAGGACATTGTGGCTCAACGAACAGCCATACTAGTGTCAGGCTGACTTATGAAATTTTGCATGAGTGTTAAAGAGTGCTTAGCAAAGGCAAGGGGACGGAACAAGTAGTAACAGTTGATGACTAATTGGTTAAGATTTCCTGAAATTCTTTTCCCTAACAGATGTTCAGTGGGTGGCATAATTCCAAGAAGTATTTTAATCCCTACCTCTTAGGTTTTCTGTTTTAAAATAAAGCAGAAATGAGTGTCTTGCAGCAAATTACTTAACCTTTTTTTGCCTTAGTTTTCTCATCTAAGGCACATAGAAATGAGCATAATAATTACACCCAACTCATAAGACAATGGTGCCGATTAAAGTAGTTAGCCATGCCAATTTCTTAGATCATTGTTTGGTACATAGTAGTTATGATTATTATTATTCTGATCGATTGAGTGAAAGAAGGCAAACATGAGAGAATACATTCTGCATGATTGCATTTACACGAAATTCTGGAGACCAAACATTAAGCTAGAGTGATAGAAGCAGATCAGTGGACGCCTGGTGCTGGGGGTTAGAGAGGAGATTAACAGCAAAGCAGCACCAAGCAGCTTTTGGGGGTGATGGAAATGTGATAAATCTTGACTATGGTGTGGTCACACAGGTGTATTATACATTTTTCAAAACTTAAAGTGGGCACAGTATATGGTATGTAGTCCACCCCCAGTCTCCCTCCCCAAAAAAGTAATAAAAAGCCTCTTGGGATGTGAATTCTAAGAAGCAATTTAAAGGAAAAAATGGGTGGAAAGGTTTAAAAATTCTTAAAGCAACTTGGTCAACAGGTAATAAGAGAACAATTAAACCTCTTAAGCATACTAAGTTCTACCACAAAGGTGACTGGACACTTTAGAACGATTCCAGTTATTCTGGGGGAGAAGCTTAACCTGGTTAGCTGCAATGCAAATTTACCTGCGTTGAACTCGGGATCATTTTCCAGGACGGTCACAGCTCCTTCCACAGCGTCAACTGCGCTCCCTCCCTCCTTTAAGATGTTGTACCCCGCGGTGGCGGCTTGGATGATTCCCTGGTGCACCCGCTCTTTGCGGTCCTTGGAGATACTGCTGGCTCCGCCACCGTGGACCACGACGACGGGATTCATATCGATGGACCCTAGCGATTAGGAAGAGGAAAACGTCCTTTCAAATCGCTCCGGAAAACCTCAAGGGGTACAATTTTCTTGGGAGTTTCCGCTGAGGACACCGTCCAGCTTCTACTCCAGGAGGAAGGCAGGGCTTATAGCTCAGGCAATTTCTTTCTTCTTTTGTTTGATAAATTTTTATTGTTGACACCATCGCAGGTGACCCCCATTTCACCCCCGCCTTTGCCCACCTCCACCAGGCCCCTGTCCCCCTCCCCTGGCCTTCACCACCCTATTGTTAGTGTCCGTGAGTCATGTTAACAATCTCTTCATCTTCTTTTATCCAGTCTCCCTCCCCGCGCAATCTCTCAGTCTGTTGCATGGAACTGCCTTTTGACCCAAGCAATGCCACTTCCGGAGATATACCCTAAAAATCCCAAAACACCAATCAGAAAGAAGGAAAGCACCCCTATGTTCACAGCAGTGTTATTTACGATAGCCAAGATCTGTAAACAGCCCACGTGCCCATCAGGAGATGAGTGGATTAAAAAAACTGTGGTCACTTACGTAATGTAATACTATTGGGCTGTAAAAAAATGGAACTTTTCCCTTCTGCGACAGCATGGATGGACCTCGAGATTACTATGCTAAGCAAAATAAGCAACTCAGAGAAAGACAAATATTGTACGCTCTCACTTATATGTGGAATCGGGCAATTTCTTGATACTAACAGGATAGGTGGGAAAAGAGGCGGCTGGGATTGAATTTTGCAGGAAAATCCTAGAGCGCCCCCTGGCGTCCCCCTCCCCCCCCGGCTGCCCAGGCCTGGGGCACCTGCGGGCCTCAATTTCTCCGAGCACCGCAGTCCCTGACCCACGTTGGACCACGGACCGGGGGGATGCGAGAATGGCGCCACGGGCTCCACCTCCGGTCCCGGTTTTACACGCTTGGACTTCCCGGGCCAACCTATGCGCTGGGGTCCCGCCGGTTCCCCTCAAGCCGTAGCTTCCGGGCATTCCTCGGCCTTGACATCCTAGCAGTGTTATCTCAGCAGCGCCCTCCCGCCTCGAACCAGAAGCTCCAGGGAGGGTTCTTCCCCAGTCTCCGGCTGCTGCTAAGGCAGCGCTATCGACTAACCGAAGACTCCGGGGGCTTCAGGATGGGCGGAGCCGCCCCTTCAGCCTCGGATCTTGCACCGCCCTGTCGGGCCGCGAAGTTGCTCTGAAAACTGCTGGGTTAGCAACTGCCCTGCGGTCAACGGCACCGCGCCTGCGCACGAGGGTGGGGCGCACGGCGCAGATTTACCGTAAAGCTCAGAATGCGGCGGTGGCCCAAAATCTTGCACATCTGCCGAGTCTCCACTTCTGGCCGGACCTGAGTTGTGTGGCTCCCAGACCGGGGACGTCTCTGCCCCTCCACCCAGCAGAGATTCTTAGTGGGATGTCTGGCACCTACACCTTCTGCTCCTCTTTCTTAAAGGCTGGAGATGCTTGAAAGGACATGTTAAGTGTCAATCAATGATCTGTTGCATCAAGACCAAAGGGAATTTTGGGGTTCCGTGAAGGTTTTGAAATTGAAAGTGTGATCCCTGAGGAAAAGGACACCTACTAAGAAGGGCTCCTGGTGGTTAACTGGGCTCAAATTTTAAAAAAACAGACTCTGGCAGCCATTTCTACACAGGACCTCTCGGCTAAACTGCACTTGAGGGAGAAGCCTGCACTGAACTGCCTGCCTGGGCTGTGTCCCTGCCATCTGAGCCAGCCCTTATGAAGGAGACCCTGGAGTCCTGTTTCAGCCCTAGGCTGAGGCCTTCCCCATCTCCCTTAAACAATATTCAAACGATTTCCCTGCTACAAAATCTTTAGCTTTGTCACTATCATCCGATATAGGAAATTAAGGTTTCTCAGTACAGAAATGTATTTTAAAAGGAGATTTAGAGGGAGTTATACTCACTTAAAAAATAACCCATAAACAAACTTCCAACTGCCACCACAAGGTCATGATCAATCAAAGCCCTGGACCACAGTGGAACTCAGCACATCACCCAAGACTGAATCGACAGCACAGGCCAGCCATGGGCTTAATCTCTGCACATCCTCCTCTGAAATCCACCTTCCACCAAAAAACCACAGTACGAGATTAACACAGAGAAAGAATAAAACAGTAAACCCAATAGTGTGGTGGGAAAAGAAACTGACGACATTTGATTAGAAGTGTTGTTCACGCAGATAGAGAGCAGGTAGGATGAAGTCCACTGAGAAATAAATCTGGAGGAAGAGAAGCCCAAGCGTGTGCTGGAGAAAGCTCCTTCAGAGTGAGCAGATTTTTGTGCAAAGGAGGAATGGAGGGTCAGGGTGGGACGTGAACAATTGTTAACTCTGAAAGGAGGGAAGGATGAGAGGAGAAGCACATGACCAGCACTGGGCAGCTGCCTCTCTCCTGTTCCCTGGGTTTGCTCAGGACGTGGCATTTCACCATAGAAGACAGAAGTCAAAGGTTGTACAACTGACTTCTGTAGGAGCAATAAGTTACAGGTCAGCTGATGACACTGAAATGACAAAAGGACACTGCATCACAAAATGTTATATTGTGTCAATTATCAAATGAGCCACAGATTAGCACAGTTTCTGAAGTACTGGTAATGCTGCTGATCTCATGCTTTTGAAGATGTCAAGAGTATTGGTTCAGACAATGTAAAACATTGGGGTTTTTCCACATGTGGCACTTTAATTTTACCCTTTAGCTGGCAGTCAGTGTGACCGACAGTCCTGTCCAGGATGGGGCTCCTCTCTTCAGTTTGTGACTCTACAAGTTATGCATTTCTGTGCATACAATCATGTTAGCCATAAGCAGTCTTCCCTGGTGTTTATCAGCTGGTGTCCAATAAGGAAAATGGAAAACGCTGAAGGCTTATTGAACAGGGAGCTCACCAAGGAGTTGGTAATAAAGGTGTTTGCAGGGCTAGAGAAGTGAAAAAGAGACTACACAGGCTGCCTGTTGACTGCAGATGGCAGGAAGGCAGTTTCTGGAAGTGCAAGAGAGAAAGACAAGTGCTGTTGCCCAGGCCCCATGGCTGCAGGGGAAGCTGAGGCTGCTGCTCTTGGGACTGGGCTGACTGAGTGAGAACCCGGAAGCCTGCCCACAAAGCCACAGCAGCCGCACGGCCTCCCTGGGCTGCTGTGGGTACCACACGCACCACTCCTGTGACCCCTGCAGGAGGCGATGTCAAAGCTGAGAACACTCACATGTGCCTGCCCTCTTCCCAGCTTCAGTCTCCCACCAGAGCCTTCCACGCAGATGCTAGCAAGAAGGCACCTGGAGGCGGGCCTGGGATGTGGAAGTCGGAGGCCGTCAGCTCCAGCAACAGAAAGGTGAGTAGGACAGACAACTCTGGGACAGAGGCAGGAGAGATCCTCTCTGGCCCAGTGACGGTGACCCACAGAGTACCCTTCTTCTTCTCTCAAATTCTTTATGAGTTGGAGTCAAACTGGCCGACGACATATGCCTGTGAACAAGATCACAAAGCTTCCTCTGCAAACTGACTATTCTCATTTTCATCCAGTGGAGATAATTTATCTGATCCTTACAAAAGTTATAGCTGGCCCTGGCCGGGTGGCTCAGTTGGTTGGAGCATCATCTCATACACCAAAAGGTTGTGGGCTGGATTCTCTGTCAGGCACAGACAGGAGGTGACTGGTCCATGCTTCTCTCTCACAGTTGTTTCTCTCTGTCTCCCTTCCTCTCTTTCTTTTTTTTTTAAATTTTTTTTATTGATTATGCTGTTACAGTTGTTCTATTCCCCCCCTCATTCCATTCCACCCTACCCCCCCGTCCCCACCATTACCCCCCCTTTAGTTTATGACCATGTGTCTCAATTCCTTTAGATTCTATATTTCCCATGCTATTCTTGCCCCCCATCTATTTTCTATCTACTGTATATGCTACTTATTTTCTGTACCTTCTCCCCCCTTCTCCTGCTCCCACTCCCCTGCTGCTAACCCTCCTTGAGATCTTCATTTCTATGTTTCCACTCCTGATCTAGCTGTCCTTTTAGTTTGCTTTTATTTTAGGTGTGGTTGTTAATAACTGTGAATTTGTTGTCCTTTCACTGTTCATGTTTCTTTAACTTCTTTTTCTTAGATAAGTCCCTTTAACATTTCATATAATAAGGGCTTGGTGATGATGAACTCCTTGAATTTGGTCTTATCTGAGAAGCACTTTATCTGTCCTTCCATTCTAAATGAAAGTTTTGCTGGATAGAGCAATCTTGGTTGTAGGTCTTTGGATTTCATGACTTGGAATACTTCTTTCCAGCCCCTTCTTGCCTGTAAGGTCTCTTTTGAGAAATCTGCTGACAGTCTGATGGGGACTCCTTTGTAGGTGACTGTCCCCTTAGCTCTTGCTGCTTCTAGGATTTTCTCCTTCATTTTAATTTCGGCTAATGTAATGATGATGTGCCTTGGTGTGTTCCTTCTTGGGTCCAACTTCTTTGGGATGCTCTGAGCTTCCTGGATTTCCTGGAAGTCTATTTCCTTTGTCATATTGGGGGAATTCTCCTTTATTATTTGTTCAAATAAGTTTTCCACTGGTGGCTGTGCCTTTCCCCCTTCTGGTACCCCTATAATTCGGATGTTGGAGCGTTTAAAGATGTCCTGGAGGTTCCTAAGACTCTCCTCATTTCTTTGAATTCTTGCTTCTTGACTCTTTTCTGTTTGGCCATTATTTGCTTTCTTCTGGTCCACTCCATTGATTTGAGTCCCAGTTTCCTTTTCATTGCTATTGGTGTCCTGTGCAATTCCATTCATTTCAATTAGTTTCGCCTTCATATATTTCTCTAATTTGTGGCTATAATCAACCAGTTCTGTGAGGATCCTGATGACCAGTGTTTTAAACTGTGCGTCTGAGAGTTTTGCTATTTCTTCATCACTTAGATTTATAGGCTCTGGGGCTTTGAGATCTTCTTGAGCCATTTTTGGTCTGTTCGCATGCCCTTTAAGTGTGAGGAGGGGCGCCTTGGACTCCCAGGTCTCTGGGTTGTGACACTGTATGTGGGGGCGTGGTCAGAGCGGGGAAATGGCGACCCCCTCTGCAGTTTCGCACTGCTGGGTGAGGAGCAGCGCCTTAGTTGGTTCACCTGGGCCGGGCCACTCAGAGTCTCTGGGTTATGACGCTGTATATGGAGGTGGGGTCAGAGCAGGGAAATGGCGGCGCCCTCCGTGCCGCTTACTGCGGGCCCCGCTGGGTGGCGGTCCAATGGCCCACTCCCTCGCTTGTCTACGCACAAATGCGAGACCACAGTCAACCCGCAGCCCTGCTCCCTTGCTGTTTCCCCCGAGGTCACTCGCTTGGTCGCTCGCTCGGTAGCTCACTAGGTCCAACCCTGCGCCTGGATTCCGCGAGCCTGGATTCCGCGCCCCTGAATCCGTCCGATCAAGTTTTCCTGTGCAACCCCGCTCCACCAGCTGCTGGTTTCGCCCCTCTTACCTATCGGGCTGAAGAATTTGTTGTTAACCGACTTCCGAAAAGGTCAATTTTCTGTGTTCTGGCTGTGTTTTCTGTTGCTAATATATAGTTGTCTCTAAACTTGGTTGTGTGAGAAGGCACGGCATATCCACCTATGCCTCCACCTTGGCGGAAGTCTCTCCCTTCCTCTCTTTCTAAAATCAACAAACATATCCTTGGTGAAGATTTAAAAAACACAAACAACAAAAAAGTTATAGCTGGTAGTTTGTTGCTCACAACATGAAAAAACATTTTCATTAACTTAAAATTAAATAGTCTGGAAGGTGAGATGCTGCACTGTTAGCTCAGCCATGTCCCTGTTCCTCGCACAGCCCTGAGGCTGTTTGGCCTCTTTGTCTCGGGTGTTCTTCCAAAATCCATAAATGACTTTATTCAACCTGGTGTGGGTGCTGCAGGGTGACTTCTGTTGCTGGACTAAAGATGAGGACAGTCTGCTTATTTTCATTTATCATCAGTGTACATGAATGACACTTGCCGAAGTATGTACAGAGGACCTCACTCCCCTGTTTGGGAGGGACCTTCGGTGGGGTTGTGACTTGCTGTTCTGGAGCATCCTGTTCACGGGTGGTACCCTGAGCAGTATGGACCTTGGAACAGACCAGCACACTTACCGACCATGGGGAGGGTCAAGAAGAGCTGTGGGCACTTCACAGCTGGGAGGCGATTGTTCCTTGGGATGTGCTTCATGATAAGTCAATTGCCAGAAGGAACAGATGTGTTGGCCA